AATCTTTATTTTTTAGAATCAACCACAGAGCCTTCTGGCTTGGTTAAAACTTGCCTTATTTGAAATATTTGGAAAATAATATTGCAACAACACAAAATATGAAAAATTGTATCTAAAAAAATAATGGAGTTTACATACCAAACAACCATATGAGCAGTACAGAGAGAAACGTGTTGACACAAATAGGTAGTTTTGATTCCGTGCCGAACCACATTTGTAAGGATTCTTTACGTTTCCAACTCACTTCAAAACCAATCTGATGTTTGATTTGAGAAATCACGATTTTTATGTCACATGCGGTAATAAAATACGTCCTTGAAGTTGTAATCTATTGAAAAGTTATGGATTATCGAGGTAAGGGCATGATGAATGAGGAGGAAAAGCTCGATTCCGCAGTAGCTAGCAGTACCTTCAATGACACATCACCTGTCAGAATACGATAATCAGTTTAGGGGTTTTAAATTGATGAGCATAGAAACACCGCCCCCATGTTAAAATAATGATAACATCAAACAATAGACGTTCTACGATACTCAAATGCAATTATGGCAGATTGGGGACACTCATATCTGTATTACATCACAACATAATCACACAAGTCTACCAGTTATAAAGGGCTCCATTCAAGAACTAGGAAGTGGGAAGCGCGGCGTTCGTTTCATCGCCATCAAAGAACCACTCAGTACCGATAAATGTACCGTGAGTGAACACAACAAGATCTGAGGAAGGCGCCTAGATACAAGAAACGTATTACAGTGCTTGCGTTTGAGTACGTTTATCTAAATTTGATGAAAGCACACCCAAATGAAGCGAATGAAATTGGACATATGTAATCGCCTATAATCGGTACGGAATTTATAAATATCATAACGTAAATGAACGATAAATAGGAACGAAAATGATCTGTCTCAAAACCTGACGTCGAAGCACCAATTGTAATATTAGCTGCTGTTAATTTAAAAAGAAAAATGAATTGTATTTTCGTAATTCCGTCGAAGGTAGAAAATAATATAGTAAAATAATAAGGTAGATAATAGGTAATAATAAGGTAAATATCGTAAAATACTATAGTAGTAAAATAACTCTAAACTGCAGCGACACAAGATCAAAGTTGCTTTTTTTTTCCTACCTATGCTGATAGCCTTGACAGGTTATTTCAGCTTCACCCTATCATGTAGGTGAGCTCACGAGGCTTAAGCCGGAGTGTTGCTAACATTGGCCCCAGCAAGAGCAGTGCTTCGCAGAATCTACCACCGGATCGGAAACGCGACCCACTGAGAAGATCCTGGGAAAGTTGCCGTCAAGTCTCGACTCATCGCAGATTTCGAGCACTAACACTTCCAAGCTAATCTCAGCACAGATAACGCTAACTCAAAGACACGAGCTCCAGTCTCGGAGAGGGGTGACGTGCTGGTAGCCATCATAGAACAAAAGATATTTGACAGATGCCTAAATCTCGCTTACGACATTTTAAAGATAAACTTGCAATTAACAAGTTCGGAACAACAGCATTTGGACCGTCAGTCTACCCAGCAATTTCCCCTGCTCGATGTAAGATCTTCCCTTTGCCGTTTACCTCCAAAATACCAACGAGGTTGAACTATACTTCAATAGTGGACGGTGCGCTTGCAGAAATTTAGAGACCGCCCAATATTAATGGCTTGATCTGTCTCAACTTGAGACATATCTCAAAACGCGGTTTTACAGTTCTGCAGTTTCCCTCTTGATCGGTTAAAACATTACCTACACCTACCATAATAATAATTGAATAACAACATTAGAGTATGTACCAACATTATAATGGAATCTACCGGTAAATTCCCCATTACTTGCCCCAAACCTTATTACAAATAAATAAGTTACCATCTCGAACGTCATACCTATCTATCACGTCCATAACTAGTCGAAATGCTCAGTGAATAGAAAAAAAAAACTTACAAATGAATCAAGTCGTCTGCCAAGCCTCACACTTTACGAACCAAATGATAAATACCCAACCTGCTAACTGGAATCTAGTTTCATCGCCTCCATTTGTTATATTGAAAACAAACATTCATTCGTAAAAGAAAAACAGACGCGTATTTTTGTATATTGTATAAGATTCTATCAAAATTGTGTGTCGGGAACACGTAAATATTGCAAAGGGAAACAGGCCGAAGAGCTTTCGCGATATGTTTCGGTAAACATCTAAGACGTTTAGCACCTATTTATTTAGTTGCTGCATTTAGAATAATGAAGGCAATCTTAGAAATTATTTTCCTATTTTAAAAGAAAATTTGAGCCTGAAAATGTGGTTACATTTTTAAAAGCCAAGAATCGTTCACAGATGAGAGGAAATAATATCGTGTAATAAAAATACAAATATTACGAATATTAAGCACGATATTCTGTCTAATGATTCTTTGTGTCTATTTCGAAGCAATCCACCGACTCCATGTCACTTGGGTGGTGGAGGTCACGTTCCTACGAGCTCCTATAACCACTTAACATCACGCTGTTACTGTCACATATCTACAAATAAAAACCAAAAAATATATTATTCCCAATAGTTTGACTATCATGTTCACCTTCGCCTTAAGATAGACTTGATTTGCAGAAATAATGAAAACAGGAGTTTTCTAACCACGACCTTTTAGTGTCAGACGCGCAAGATAGCGTTTTACTACGTAAATTAATAGCCAATCAACATCGGAATTCATAAATATAAACCTTCGTGTTCATGATAAGATAAATACAGAAATATAAAATCGACTTTCAAACCTCGCGAAAACCAGCGGCGTCATTGAAACGTCCTGCAAAAACAAGAAAAAAAACACTCGGATGACCTACACGCGGAAAGACACATGTTCAAACTGTGTCAGAGAACGATTCAGGCAGACCGAGACGCAGCTGTGTCGACAATCCTCAACGAAATTGCTTTTGTTCATATACGTGACAGTATTGTTAAAGAATTTTCATCAAAATGCAACTATAACGAATGGCAGTTGATTACGAATTACCTATTTATAATATATCGAATGATGACATGAAACTTCTAGGTCTTTTAAAAACCTCACCCCGGTTTTTGGACGCTTTGATGAATATTTGTGTAATCACAAAATTCAATAAGATTGTATTTGGATAAATCACGGAAGAGTTGAATTACCCAATTGAGTTCGTGCAAGTCTATATTAAATATCTATACAAACAACCGTCTATATTATATATATATGTTCGGTTTGACCCGAGTTGGCAGAAGTTACACGAGATGTTGAAAAACTGACCTTGAATAATAACACAAAGAAGAATGAAACGGTCTGCTTCTGTCTCTTAGTCAATATAGCTATAATGCGAATTTAAAAACAAGATAATCTAGTACCTTTTCTCCTCTATTTGTCAAGCGGTACTTGGAACCGATTTTTACCACTTTTATAAGAAAAAAATGAACCTAATTGAAGTGTTTTAATCTAATTATTGATTAATTTCGGTCATTGGACGACCACACATTCAAATCCCTTATATTTAAATTTGGTAATGTTTATTTTTTTAAATCATTATAAATTAATTCAGTTATGAATGGGTGATTCAAAATCTTATTGAACCGACAAAATAAACATAAAACCGCAAGACATATTCAGTAAGGGGTTATAAAGTATTGCGGCATTAAAAACCCACCATGGGCACCGCAATTAGACAATGCATCGAACGTTTTATTGCCAGGTGACAATAATAGAGCTCGCTGCGACAGCCAACGACAGGCTGTTATTCATAAAAGCTATAGTAAAGCTACGAACACAATAGCGGACGTGGGGCCAATGTCGACGGTAACGACGCAGACTTACGAGAATGCAATAATTTAAGATTTATTGATGGCCTACAGTGTTGTTCGACGACCGTTAATTGCTTCGCAAATAAAGTCGTAAGTTCGTGATTATAAAACAATCAACCTTCTTATACGTAATGAAGCAACAGAGTAAACTTTAGCATTATTTTGAAGGAATAGTTGACACGGAAGTGATTCCTAAGCTATAACTATTTTCTAATTTAAGGAGACGATAAACAGATACCATCTAATTACGTCCATCGTATAAATATTGACGCACCCCTGTAACAACACGTATATTTCCGTTTTATAAATCGTAAAAATCACAATTAAATGGAATATCATATGTTTCCCACACAAATGAATTTAGCAACGGACGTGCGACACGAGATTGCGCAAATCGGCTAGCCTTCGGGTCAATTCCTACACTGATAAGGGATTCATCGCTGACCAATGCTAACCCTGGCCCTATTTAACTCAGGATGTACCGGGTGTGCCATCACAGATATTAAATCTATCACAGAATTGGATGGAAAATTAGAAAAAGGACTCATTTGTAGCAAAAATTTTACAAGGTCCAATTTTTGTGTTTCAAAAATTTTAACCTGTGTTTTTTTTCTCTCATCAGTTTGGTTGCGTACCAGAAATATAGCCTTTCTGGTGGAATGTAATTACCATTGTCTCTGGGCGTTGGCAATGCCATGACCGCGTCAACATCTACGGTAATCTTAGCTTGATCTCTTCAAGCTAGACATGTCGTAGCGCTCATGAAATACCGTAGAAGGGAGTTGATTCCAAAGTAAAAAAATTACAGTATTCTATATTAGTAGTTAATAAACGCAAGCATTACTTGTTAACCATATTCCAGTGTACGGTAGTGGTACCGTAGAAACCTAGGTAATCACATTAACTTCTTCAGAGCATTTCAGTGTTAGAATTTGGGCAACATTTTAAATAATGACTATGTACCACGTACAATATGGAAACACAAAAAAAACTATTAATCAGATGAAAATTTTAACAAAATACCAAACGATACCTAAAAAATACAAAAAAATATATAATAAATTACGCAATACGATACCGAACTAGATGATTCAAGAGAGAAATGACGGCAAAGCTGCAGTGTCCGTTCTGACCCAAGATAAAAAAAAAATCCGTTTTTTTTTTTTTTTTTGAATTATTGATCACAAATTACCATGCCACAGGATTCGCTGCCGGGTATCGTGTCTGATGGTCCCGTGGGTGACCGGATGGACGATAGCCGCGCTCGGTACGGCGACGGTAAGGTCGGTAAAGCGAGCGATGCTCTCGACGGCACGCTCTCAACTGACAACTAAAATTGCGAGCTTTATCAGCCGCGCGGCTCAACACGGACCGACGCACGCGCACGTATGCCCGACCGCTTAGAACTATGCTGCTTCCGTTACATTTATTTACCTAAAAACCTTTGTTTGTTTATGTAAAACGTTTACACGTATTATGTTATGTAATTGACGTTTTGATCTGTCAGTAGCAATTGTCTTTTTTTTTTTTATTGCTTAGATGGGTGTACGAGCTCACAGCCCACCTTGTGTTAAGTGATTACTGGAGCCTGTAGACATCTACAGTGTAAATGCCGCCACCCACCTTGAGACATAAGTTTTAAGGTCTCAGTATAATTACAACGGCTACCCCACCCTCCAAACAGAAACGCATTACTGGTTCGCGGCAGAAATAGGCAGAGTGGTGATACCTACCCGTGCGGACTCACAAGAGGCCCTAGAGGTGGCCTGAATGAAAATACTCGATTTTTCATGTGGTGTTCAACGTATTAAGGATCAAGTATAAGACAGAGTGATGTGGAGACAACTTGTGAGGGCTCTATGTACCAGCGGGGTACCCTAGGACTACAACAACCTATAGTAGTATAGACAGCGACTAATGGTAGGCAGCGACACAGCTGTGGCCCTGGCATTGCTTCATGAACGACGGTAATCACTTACCATCAGGTGGGCTGAATGCTCAGGTTGGTATTGGTAGGCAGCGGCTTGGCTCTGCCCCTGGCATTGCTGAAGTCCATGGGCGACGGTAACCACTCACCATCAGGTGGGCCGCATGCTCGTCTGCCTACAAGGGCAATAAAAAAAAAAAAAAAAAAAAAATGCTCGTCTGCAAAACGTCTCGTCTACAAAAGCAATAAAAAATCTTGAAAAATCCAAAGTCAAAACATTTAACCTTTACCCTTAATAAAATCCGCTCTAAGTGTAATAATCTTATAAAGGTCATATAAGGGATTATACGTATTGAAGTATTTTGAGTATTAAGCCGCCACGCATAGCACCAGATTTGCAAAATCCTATTAGAACGCAGTTACATAGCTCTATCTTACAACAAAACAATGTCGGGTAATCAAAAGGAGACCTAATCAAGGCATTGCTACAACATTTAAGTGTAGTTAGTTATTATCGGAATGTCTTTTTTCCTTAACTATTTGCTATTCCAGCTACAGGATTTGCTGCACCTCGCCTATAATTTCTAATCGATTTCAAATCGCATATTCCCATCGTTGATAATGAACTTGCTCTTCAAATTCTCTTTTAAAGACGAAATGTTATGCTTCATAAAAGTTAATAATATAAATAGACAAAAGAAAATAAGATGCTACATAAGGCTAAATCCTTATTAAGATACATGGGGTGACAAAGTTTTTCTTCTCGTAAAAAGAGGTAATTTTGAATGTAGAAAAACATGACAAAAAACTTTCTCTGGAAAAACTGAAACAGTATTCAGAATCCATTCAAAAGATAATTAGAATAGGTAGAATTAGCGGTAGAATGATTGTCAAATAATATTAAAATCCCACTACTAGTCGACTTTTAAAATATTGATGGCTCCGTAAGTTTATATTTAATTTCCACACTGCATTAGTAAAATGGTCTAGACGAGCACGGTTAGACGATGTCTGTGGGATTCGCTAAACGCTCAGAATAAAGTGAGAACTTATATATCACCTTCGAATCGTATCTAGTAATAAAATCCATGTTTCAATGAAAAAACGGCTGTTTTTATTTATTTCAGTAAATAAACCGTAACCTAACACATAACTATTACACTATTTATCACTTCCTTTTTTCCAAGTGCCTGCTACAAAGTCTATTAATTAGCAGTTCCTCGATATTGCTCGGATTTACAGAAGACTTGCAACTGTCACGTACTCGACGCAATAACGATAATAATAAGCGCCCGAATTGCTTATTAACGTCGTGGTTATAACAACATGGAATACAGATACACCCCTTGTAGACTCACAACATGTCTTCCAACAACAACACGCTATCACCGAAAGCCACGCATGCCCGCTACGAAGTATTTACAATTACCAGAAATAAAATAACAATTTATCAAGTCAACAATTTCTTAGAAACAAATTCGGCATCTTTCATATTTTCTAAGAGCCTTCTCTAAGCCGATAAGAAATATTATAACAAAGACGAGAAAGAAATTTATTTGTAAATTTCTAGATAACAGGGTTAGGAAACATCATGTTTAATATACTAAACAGTAGAGTGTCATTTTGGAAAACAACTTGCTGTCTCTCTTACACATCCAGAGTCTTAACCTAGGCAGGAAAATCTGAGAGTTGTTTGACCACAGCAACGTGCCGACTTGTTTTAAACGAAGCATAGTGAGAGCTTACGAGACGCAGGGCGTATTTGTATACCTGACCTTGCTGAAGTTCATGGTGGCGATTACCATTTTACATCAGGTAGGACACAGTATACCTATTTAGGCAAACTAAAACTAAACTTAAAAATTCAAAGTTTTTTAGTACAAAAGAAATGGATGTATGGTATCTTGATCGTCCACGTAAATAGATATCTCTGCCAAAGCATTTTTGCCTTCCGATCTTAAGGGCAGTACAGTGGTATTACAAAACTAAAAAAAAAACTTCGAAATTTATCGTCATGTGAGATCTCTCAGCCATTCCTTTGCTTTATGGCAGAAATCTATTGTGGTACTTGCAACTCTACCACTAAGAAAAATACTAAAAGTTTTGAACCACACTCTTTGTAGACATTGTCCCTGTCCATATTATTGTCGGTGGTGTGGAAGAATTGTAGGCATAATTTGCTTGTCGGCTTTAGATCCGTTTTTTCTTGTTTATTAAATTGCAATGAAAAATAAATAAAACAAAATGACCACCATATTAAAAACCGTCTATATCAAATCTATGCTCTGTGAGATTCTAAAAGTATTCAAAAACAAAATCAATGTTAATGACATGATATTTTAAAACAACAACCAGCTGTTGTCGCCATTACCTTTACATAAATAATCGGGGACAAGTTCCAATGATTCCATTACTGTGTCGGTTCTTATTCAAAGGAAGACATATAAATACGTTGCTTTAAATAAATTAGGGCGTTTTACTAATTGATGATTCCATGTCGGTGTGCATTGAACCGAACTAATCGGGTACAACTAACCGAGAATTATAATACCAAGTTACTATATACCTTATGCTTTTATACTTTACTGTGAACATGTAGAAAAGCTCACAGCCCAGGGGTTCATGATCGCAGTCCAACTGGAGATATGACGTCAAAGTCCAAATTGTTGTCTGACCCTTGAAGCGTGTCGGTTAGCAAAAACCCAGCAACAATACTGACGTTCTCTCTGTTCTCTCTGCTGTGAGCGTTGCGTGGACACGAAGTCACATAACAGACTTAAGATTTTCAGAGCAGCTGAATCACATTGATTAACCATAGTCCATTCGTGTTTGTCTTCCAACTGCAACTTCCCTTAGTCGGCAAGTCCGCATACAAAATAAGCTACGAATAAAACAATAATTTATCTCAGTGTACAAGAACATTATTCAAAATATACATAATAAATATTTTCCTGTGTCTCAAATATAGTTTGGTTCACGCTATGCCCATACGCAGTACGCTTTTATGCAACTTAATTAAACTATTGGAATTGGATTGGAAGGATTATTATTGTATCAGATTAAGCGCGAAATCTCATAAAATGAGCAGCTAATTTTAATAGAAATATATAACAGTACAGATATTGTTTTTCGTAAAACATTCGGGTTTTTTAAACCTTTTCGATCGGTCGGACGTCGGTTTTCGGACGGTTTTACAACCCATAGATACTTACGTATATTGCGCCACCCAGCTTGAGATGTAAGTTCTAAGACCTCAGAATAGTTATTATAGTTACAATGACTGCCCCAGTTAAAGCCGAAACGCATTGCTGCTTTACGACAGAAATAGGCGGGGTGGTGGTACATACCCGTGCGGACTCACAAGCGGTCCTACCACCAGTAATTACGCAAATTATAATTTTAACGGGTTTGTTTTTATTACACGATGTTATTCCTTCACCGTAGAAGTCAATTGTGAACATTTGTTGAGTACGTATTTCATTAGAAAAATTGGTACCCGCCTGCGGGATTCAAACACCGGTGCATCCCTCAACACGAATGCACCGGACGTCTTATTTTTTAGGCCACGACGACTTCAAGGCTGCTGAGACTTCGACATGATCACTCGAGCCGTGGATCCAGTAGCTCAGGTGCCTCGGTACTATAGCTACTTTAAGGCTTCAATCCAGAAAACAAATAAATAAAATTAATTTAAAATTAAATTAAATTTAAATTACCGACCTTACAAACCTCGTTTCCATATATCGGCGTGCAAGTACAAAGCAAGTATTTTGCTTACATCATTCTTACAAATACATTTTATTTGACACATAATTCATGTTTATGAGTTCTGTGTAACACTATTATTACTTCGAGACAAGATTAATGGGTTTCGTATCGTTTCTATTTAAAAAGAACTTTTAAACGCCTGACTAAAATGAAGTAAGACCTCCTTTTCCTTCACAGAAGGATTTTTAAGTAGAAACCTCAAACAGAAAATTAAAAAAACGTGATTAAAAAAATATAATATGAAGATCCAATAAAAAGATTCAGTGTTGCTCAGGACGATCAGAATCAGGATTTTAACGATATGTCATTCACCCTAATCTGTTCACACATTTAAAAAGTATAGTAGAATAAATAAATTCGCATATTTCTTCTTCTCTTTCTTACACTTATCTCACATAATGTAGGTTCGGCGCAGAATATTCTTTTATCATGCTGCAAATTCCGAATCCGTTGGCCTGAATCTACACCCGGTTGCCTGTCTGACGGGCTATATCTTCAATGGTCTGGTTATATCCCCAATAGATTATATTCTGCTAGAGTTTCTTTTTGTAATTCACTACATTAGTTCAATACATATAGAAAGCATGTCATTTTCACTGTTTGTAGACCACATCATAAGTCATTTTTATTACAGTTTAGTTTTTACGTTCGGCAAATTAATTTAAAAGTTGATAAAAAATTGCATCTAAATTTTGAGGTA